GTTGTGAGCATTTTTTTGAAAAAAGGAACTTTTCTTTTGTTTAGAAGACACTTTTCCTGTCATCCACTCAATTTTTTTTTTATCTCTATCTTATCTTGAACATTTATCAAGCAAATTGGTTTTATAAATTGTATTTTGTCTGCAGTTTAAAATGTGTTAGTGGAGAAGACTAGTGAGATGATTAAACCACATTTTCTGCGGCCATTATTTTATTTCAGAAATACGTGGACAGATTGCTAACAGACCCTGAAAAGAAAACTTATCAAATTTTCACATTAGCGCATATTTGCATTCAAATATACATAATGTGTCTCCATACAACTACAAAAACAAATCAGGTACACACACACACACACACACACACACATATATATATATATATATATATATATATATATATATATATATATATATATATATATATATATATATATATATATATATCTTTTGATGATATTTCTTGCTCACCTTCACTATGTCGTTATGCTGGGCATTTATATAATCTTCATTTGTTTGTTTATTTTATCTGATTACACACACACACACACACACACACACACACACATATATATATATATATATATATATATATATATTTATCTGTGTGTGCATGTAGAATGTACAATAGTATACCAAGCAAAAGTGAAAATGACGAGAAAAATTTGAAGATATACTAAACGACACGTTTCGCCAACGTCTGTCGGTCTCGTCTTCTTAAGGTCAGAAAGAAAGACGAAAATTTCTTATCGGAATCTGACAAACTAATTAGATTTAATTAGATTTATTGCCTGTCTTCTCCTCACAATTCTAACACTGTTTTGTCTTTCATTCTAATCGAAAGAAGCAGAGACCTATAGATATCAACGAAACTCATCGTTTATAAGTTTTTTTTTCCACTTGTCCCATCATCTTTACACACAGAAACACACATCAGAGATGGAACACAGAACTGAACAAATAGTTGGTGCAAATATTTGCCACGAACACAGAAAACAACACCCCCTCAGGTTTTATTATCACGGAGTTATACATCTCCTGTACTACCAACGCAAGGAAGCGTGCAGAGCCTTTCAACGGGCCATGGTCAGGCACTGGAAGGGTTTTGATAATTTGAGTTTTCCTTCTCATATATTTGCGTTGGTGGTTCGGAAGCCTCCTTGATATTCTTCCCTCAGATTCCGAGTTAATGATATAAATGGCGAGAATCCATCTTCGCAAACAAATTTATTATAAATACATTAACCCACAAACCTCTAGATTAATGTTATGATCCCTGTTTCATTTTGTACAAGGTATTTTTTTGTTTTTGCTAGTACTTTCATCTGTTCATACAGACATCGTCAGGCATGGAAATTGATTTTTTTTTAATACATCCAGGTTATAACGGGACAGGAAAGCTTAGATGTGAATCGAAATATGTTTTTTTAGAAATGTGTTATTGTTAACTGTAAGAAATTTTGGAGCGTGCGGTCGCAACGCTAAGTTTGAATTTTTTTTTAAATTTAAAGGAGAGGGCGTTTTTTTACTAATATGGTAATTGGAGAATTCTTTTGTTGTAGTAGTTTTTTTCAGTCGATGTGGCATATAAATGTATTTTATATGTGTGTTTTTGTGTGCAAGGTAAAGATAGCAAAACTTTCGAAACCACATCTGGAGTACGATCTTGAAGAAGGACTTGGGATACCCAGTCTATTTAACCTCTTCCTAAACTAATCTATGCTCTGCACATACACAACACAAGTCTGAAGAGAGGGGCACTGATCAATTAAACATTTTATAATGTATCAGAAAAGGTTAAACTAACAGATGCTGCTTTTCCACCCAAGACCAACGTACAGATGATGAGTATGTCTCCGCTGATGCCATATTTAGGACAAGAATGATCTTGAACGAAAAAAAATCAGCATCCACTACCAAGTATCCTAGTACGCAGGACACAAGTTAAAACTTTCCAAACAACGATTGGAATGAATGGACTATAGTGCCTATCATTAGAATTTCCTCAAAATTCAGAATTCGTGTTCTTTTTAAAGTGAGAGGGGTACCCTATCAAGGCCGGTTTTAAATTCAGAGTATTTCCTTCTCCTAGACTGGTTGCCACCCAAGATTATTGAACCCCGTCTGTGGGAGAGAAGAAGAGATTTCATACCTTTCTCAAGGTTATTAGCACGTAAGTGAATGTCATGGATATGTCTGTTATTCGAACTCTGCTCTCCGATGAGCCGTTACCCATTACTCCAATTTGCCTCCCTGTAGGTAAATACTATATAATTAAAATGCCTAGGTATGGATGTCATGCCTGGCGATCAGCGCGTTCAGAAATATCTCAAATGTCGGGTGGGTACGACCGCCTACACAAATCGATACGTAAAAATGGCTTCGGGCGAGCGAATCCTGTAAGTGGACCATCCTTTCTCGAATCACAAAGAGCTATGCCGGATAATAGAAACCACACCACTTGATGAATTTCAACAACAACTAAAATAGGTAGCGGATGAAACTCGAAGAGCGAATAATGATATAATCAAAATTCTGACTTTCCACATGAATCTAAACATAAAGCAAGGAAGGAAACCCCCATCAATACTGGAGAGAGCAATAATAATACTGCTAGAGATGAAAAAAATATTCCTGGAGAACTGAGAACAAATTTATAAGTTTCATCCAATAGCAGCACTGACTGCTCTGTTAAAAAATTCCGAATGCTTCCTTATAAGGCAACGGCTATCATTAGCATTAGCATTATCAACATAGGTCTCTCTATGCAAGAAAGTGGCGTTTTGTAGTTTTTTTTTGTTTTTTGTTTTTTTTGTTTATGATGAGTTCAATGTGTATTAAAATACCTTCTGTTTATGTTGCAGTACTAATAAAATAAGCAAAGCCGAATTAAATCTAATAAAGCTTCATAAGTTTCTACTTGGTACTGTTACTATATTAAAGCCTCACCTGAACTAGCTTAATTTCATAAACATCTTGTAAAATATCATTGGATAACACCGCAGCGTATTAGTTATCAGCCCGATGTCTAGACGCTGCTTTTTTTTTTTTTAATCAGCATCACTTTATGAGAGGCGGTAAAGCTAGTAAAACCCAAAAGGTCACAGGGTGTGGAAGAATTAGGCAAAGAAAACTAATAATGAGCAGAAAGAGAAAAGAGTAATAATGAGGACAGTAGATTGCCATTGACATTGTGTTTACATTTTTGCAGATTAAATTTTGTTAGAAAGCATGAAACGGGAAAGAAGTTTCAAAAGCAAGAAGTGTGAGAAAAGAAACTGTTAGCATAGAACTTACGGCTACATCTAGCCAGCTGAACTGTCAATTGATAAGATATCGGCCACAGCTTAAATTCAAAAAGTCTTCATGTTGCCGTTTTTTTTGGGATATATGTACTAGTGAGACAGTCAAAATGACTGGCTCACTAGTACATATATCCCAAAATGACTTGACTCATTTTATAGTCCACCAAGAGAAGGGTTAACCAATCAGAAGACGTAGAATATTCATTCCGTCGTGTATAAAGGCGGCCATTTTGTTTACTCTATCCGAATGTCCTGTGCCAGCTTGTCAGGCGAAGAGGAACAGAAGGAAGAACTACTGAACTACGTTCTGCTACTTTACCGGGATATCCACTGCTAACCTGAAATACGCTTTACAACTGTCTTCGAAATATTCACTGCTAACCTCTAGATTCTATACTCAAAGACGACCGTCATCATGAACTCACTTCATACCATAGCAAAGAGCTTATCCGAGCAATTACCGTGAATTATTTATAGAAAAGGCACAGAGAAGCAGGTCTACGCCGGTGGGAAAAACGATCAGGGCATACAATATCGCTGATTTTTCTTTGGATCTTATCAAAATACTCAAAGTAAATAGCAGGGACACCGAAAAATATGTGGCAGCAACATTCTAAGCATGGAACGCTGGAAGACTTATTGATATGTAAAATAGAATCTGGTTAGAAAAAAAAATGTCTCGTACGACAAAGTTAACCGACATTTTGAAATCTGACCTAGCAATGCATTCAATACACTCTCTCCAGATTATGTAATATGAGAACGTGATCCCAAGAACGCGCAATGAGTCACTTTTCTGGGGATTAGTATTAGTCATTATGATGGAAGGAATCGAGGTGTCTCTAAGATTATTAATGGAGATAAACTTCGTTTTGGGTGGCGTGAAAAATTAACAAGCCATCTTTTGTCGCAGTAAACAACAGCAGTTTTAGACATCGGCTGCCATTTTGACCTTGTCGGACTTATCAGCTTGCGTTTGCTATGTACATATGCCTTTAGAAAAGGCATGAATCCATCTCTTTTTGAACATGTGTTCAATAAGTGTAGACTGGATTCTCTAGCTTTCAATGATATCACAGCTCTGAATTTTAAAGTGTGAAGATGGAAACGGCTAATCACGTCACAAGAATGGTAATTTACAGATAATAAAGAAACGGAAAATACGATGAGTCATTATCGGCTGCGTTCTAATGGAACATGCCTCAAGAAAACCAAAACACTTAAGAGTTTGCATATTCTACTCTTTATTTTCGCTTTTGGCGTCTTGATATTGTCTTATTAGCTTTTCGCAGTTCTTCAATTTTTCTTCTTTTTTTTACTTTAGCTTTTCGTATACCTTCTCGTTAAATTTCATCAACATATTTCCTTCTCAAAAATCAGTTGGATCGTATTTCGCTCTCCTTTCCAACACCTTTTTTCCCAGAACTTCCTCTTCTTTCATAATGCTATTGCAGTCAATTTATTTCTCTCCGTTCGTTCTGTTGAACAATCGTTTGTGGAAAATCTTCATCATAGGAATTTTATAAAAAAATAAATATTAAGATTACCCCCAACTACCACATGTTTTTCTCACACATATGATCGCTTACTTATTTAACTCCTTTAACTGGTAATTCTTCTTTCTTTTTAATGACGTACACATTATTTTCAGTTTCATAAATCACTATCCAGCAAATAAATTTAACCTTTCCTTTTTCTTCATTGCCCTTCGAGAAAGAAATATAAAACAATGCAGACAAAAAGAGATGCTGACGCAGATCGATAGATAGATAGATAGATAGATAGATAGATAGATAGATAATGAACAAGCAAAAGTAGATAGATAGATAGATAGATAGATAGATAGATAGATAGATAGATATGAACAAACAGAAGTAGACAGATAGATGGGAAAATAGATAGATAGATCTGAACAGATAGATATATAGACAGATCTGAACAGATAGATAGATAGATAGATAGATAGATAGATAGATAGATAGATATGAAAAAACATAAGTAGATAGATAGATCGATATAAACAAACAGAAGTAGATAAATAGATAGATAGATAGATGGATAGATAGATAGATAGATAGATCTGAACATACAGAGATAGATAGATAGGTATGAACAAACAGAAGTAGATAGATAGATAGATAGATAGATAGATAGATAGATAGATAGATAGATAGATAGATAGATAGATAGATAGATAGATAGATAGATCTGAACAAATAGATAGATAGATAATGAGCTGGTCATGTACCAAAAGAGAGAAAGCGTTGAAAACTTTCAATCAAGTTTTTAAAAGAAAAAATATACGTTAAAAATAATGAAATAAAAAATAAAGAACTGAAAAGAAAGACAGACATGAACAAACGCAGAAGCCATAGAAAAAAGATGTAACGAAAAGGAATGTAAATAAACAAGCGAAAATAGAAATAAGGAATAAAGAATTTCCAGGGAGAAAGAGAAGCAGTAACATTACAAGGAATTAAGTACATACAGAGTGAAATAATCAATGCCAAGGAAGAAACGGTAAGTCGTAGAACAAAATCGACAGACATAAGTAAAACAAATAAATCGAAGGAAATAACGATGAGAGCAAAAAATATATATATATATATAACAACAAAGAATAAACAGAGTGTTTTTTTTTGTTTGCTTTTGTTTATTAGGAAAGGACATATTATCTATATTCAAATGATTTCAGTACTCATTTTAATATTAAAGTTAGCAGTGATAGTGTCACAGGAGTTACCCAAATATTTCAGCCAGGCCGCCTTTGAGAATCTAGCTCTGTATTTTTCATTCACCGGACTCGGGAAAGAGAAAATAATTTAAAAAAAAAAAATGGCTTCAAGACTTAAGTGATCCTAGCTCTCCATGGGATTTTTTAAATATCAGTTAACAGCGTATTGCCATACATGAGAAAGCTTGTGTTTCTTTTCTTTGATTGTTCGTTTTTTAGCCTTGAATTTTATCTTTACCTTGTTGCTTTAACAAAGCTTGAGAGTTTGGAAAGAGAAAATATGTATCTGTGCTATTTTCAATGACGGTAGAGTGAATAGAACAGTCTCGTGTGGGATTTGGACGCGACGATTTTCTAAACGTTAAAAAAGAATCTAGAGACAGAATTGACAACAGAAAATCTTTTTTTTTTCCCTTACATATAGACACGCTTAATGAATATATTTATTTAATATCTATTAACTCATTACATTTTCCTGTGGGGTGTAGGAGTACATCTTCGCCATGTTAGGAATATATATTGTTATGTAAAACATTTACAGTAAAACAATAATGTAGAAATGAATTGCAAATAGGTAAAGCAATTGCATTAAAAAAAAATACGATATGCCTTCAGGTGATTATCGATTTCCACATATACTTTTTTTTCTGTACTATCTGTGAATTGCCATGCAGTCTTTACAGAAATAGGAGTGTTTCCTTGTTCGTTCACCACCTCTTTGGAATTAGGTGTTTTTTCTTCTCTTATATTGGTTACTAGACAAACCTCTTTATCCTATTATGTAAACTTGGACGGATTTAGGCAGACAATTTTTACGATACTAAAAAGCATTAAAATCATATTAAAACATGAGGTAACTAAAATATATAATTAGAACCTGTAACAGGCTGCTAGATAGATAGATAGATAGATAGATAGATAGATAGATAGATAGATAGATCTTTGTACACCAGTTTTCAAATATATTTGTGTTCGGAGAATTCAATGCCCCACCATACTAGGTGGCTTGATCACTCTATCACTGGCTTCGTTCGCATGCAAAACCTGAACTTCTCAATCCCTTAATCTTTCACCCGAGTGGTGACCTTCTCCATGTGTTTCCCCAGTAATCTTGATGGACATAATTTTTTTCTTGATCTCTTCTTTACCTCTCTCCCTGACTCATGTCATACTCTGCAGCTCTGCCCTTTTGACCATGCTGTAGCATCTGTAAAAAAAAGTATTTGCACTCTCCCAAAGTTTCATTTCAGCGCGGAAATTCCAAGTTAAAACCACGTTCATCTCTGTGATTCTCATCTGAATAGCCCACAGGAATCACTTCTTCCGCCTGTACCAGACGACATGTGTGTTTGCAACAGATGTCTCTTTCTCTCTGCTTGTAATGAGCGCAAGCTTGTCCTCAAAGAAACGAAGTTATTGTGTGTTGATAGAATGAGGCAACGTATAGACTCTCACAACTTTGTTCTAGTGATCATTGATGAGCACTGCAGCAATGTGCTGAAAAAACAGAAAACCCTGAATCACTCCTCTATTCAATCAATTTGAAATCCTGACATCTACAGCAAATAAGGTTGAGTGCTTTGCTCGGAGGTTCTCTTCCAACTCCACACTTGGCTCATCTGGAGGGAACAACAGTTGATCCTCCTGCTACAATTTCTGAGTGATATGTGCATAACCTCGTCACTGGTTTTAGAAATCATTTCCAGATTCCCAGAAAGCAAGGGGAGGTGACGAAATAACAGCCGTCGTCCTAAAAAATATGACCATAAGCTGGCTCCAGTTCTTTCCAAACTCTACAAAAATTGCTTCATTGCTTCCTGCTTTCCAGCTTCATGGAAGTCCTCCTCTGTCGTTCCTGTTTTTAAGAACTCTGGAGTGCACTCCGCCAACTCAAATCATCGCCCCATTAGTCTCTTCCCGATTTTCGACAAAGTAGTCGAGAATCTAATCAATGCTGAATTGGCTAAGCATCTTATTTTTCACGACATCCTCTCGGGCAAACAATATGGCTTCAGTTTCGCCAGGTCTACAGCTGATGAGTTAACAGCCATCACTGAATATGTATATCAAGCTCTTGATGATAACGGCGAATAATGGCAGGCTGTTCTTCTATGCAAGTTCCAGGGCTACGGTATCACAAGACGGTTGTTTCATTTAATCCAATTCTTCCCATCAAATCTTGAAATGAAGGTCGTTTTCAATGGGCTCGCTTCCAGAACTTTTCACACCAACGCGGGTCTCCCCTCAAGGTTATATCCTGGGTGCTACTCTGTTTCTGATCTTCCTCAATGATCTGCTTGACGTCATCAGTTACCAAGTATGTATTCATTTAGATTTCAATAATATTTACCTGTTTCAATAGAAAAAGAAAGCCTGTTTGCTGCTCTAGAAAAAGTCCTGCTTAACTGGGACAGGAAATGTCTGGCAGATTTTAAGGGCTCAAAAAAAAAACTGCTCTCATTTAGCCTGCCTACATAAGTGTTTCTGTCTGTCATCAGCAAAGTTGACGCTAAACGCCAGAACGTTTTCTTGGTCTTAGGTTTTCAAATGATGTCACTACATCGAGTTAATAGCTGCATCTACTGCTGGGAAATTTGGGTCACTGTGTCATACCAGGAAGTTTTACTCGTCAGAGTCCATGTTGCACATTTATAAATATACCATTCATCCGTGTAGTGAATACTGCTGCTATATCTGCTCTGGTGCTCCTGCTATTCATCTCGAGATTCTTAACAAAAATAAGGATACGCAATTGATCCTGATTTGGCATATAGACTTGAGTCATATTCTCACTTTTCCACTGCTTTTTCGACAAATATTTTAATGGCAACTCCTCTGACGAGGTTTTTCGTCTGCTGTCCCGAATACTAGGTCCCACACGTTTACTGTTGCAATAGCTAAATGAAACCGCCTCTTCTCGTACTTCCTGTTTAATTGCTTGCCTGAATACGACTTCAAAAATTTAAATACAAAGTCAACCGCCATTTTCTATCTTCTTGAACCCGTTTATCTTGTGTCTTTTCCCAAATCCTCCATATGCTCAGTCTTTTCTCTAACTTGAACACTCCGTGTACTAGAGGCATTTCCGCCTTGCTTGGGTGAAATGATTTTCAAAAAGAAAAAACAATAACAGACGTGCTGAAATATATAGATAGATAGATAATGGACAGACATAGACACATAGTTAGATAATGAACAGAGATAAATAATGAAAAGGCTGAGATAGATAGACAGATAGATAATGAACAGTGATAGACATATACCTAAATAAAGAGAGAGAGAGGTAATGGACGAACATAGATAGATAGATAGATAGATAGATAGATAGATAGATAGATAGATAGATATAGATGGACAGATATAGATAGATAGATAGATGGATGGATGGATATGAAAAGTGGAAAAAGAAGGCTACACTTAATCATAAAATGCTATTTCTTTTGCATTTATTAAGTTATATATATATATATATATATATATATATATATATATATATATATATATATATATATATATAGCGCTCTGTGTGTGTGTGTGTGTGTGTGTCTGTCTGTCTCTGTGTGTGTATGCATCTACGAAAATAAGGCTATGGGCTGATTTGCGTATATCATTTGTTGTTTCTTTTGCCTGTCGCTTCCATTACTGTTTATAAATTTTTTAATTATTTTCTGTTAAAAAATGTGTTGTTTTATTTTCCTGTTATTTATTCAACTTCAAGTTTTGTCCCCATCTAATAAGAAACACGACTCAGAGAAAAGATTGGAACAGTGAATGAAATTTTGTTCGGTGAAAGGAGCTAAAGAGCAGGAAAGTTTTAAAAAATTGTAAAGAGAATTCATATACCAATATATATATATATATATATATATATATATATATATATATATATATATATATATGCACACACCTACATACACACATACAAACACACACACACACACACACATATATATATATATATATATATATATATATATATATATATATATATATATATATATATGTATACACTTTCATACACATATGGGCGTGTATCAAATTTATTCAACTTTTTGTAAAGATTTCTTCCTATATCCTTTTTATTTTTTCTTCTATATTCTCCAAGTAGAAGCACACCCACAATGGCCTTTCGAGAAGGAATTCTGCTAAAATGAATAAATTTAAAAAAAAATAGATGTGTTAGGTGAAAATCAAATTACATTTTGAACTCGTCTTGAAAAATAGAATAAGACGTCTTTACAGCCAGAGAAAAGCCATTTTGTAAATCTGGTCACACACTTGTAATTTCTTTCTCCGCCATTACTTCATTGTATCTTTTTATGCAAGGACAGCGTGTATATTTATTTAACTTATAAATCAATCTGAGGAAATATCATTAAAATCTATTCCATGTGGGATAGGTATTCTTTTATCTTGTTCTCCAAAATTTTATATCTTTACACACACACACATATATATATATATATATATATATATATATATATATATATATATATATATATATATATATATATATATATATATATATATATGAGCAAAACGTGTCTGATACAATGTTTGGCATCTTACCCACATACACACATATGCATATGCTCATATATTCGCTTATTTAGACAAGAATACTTCCCGACCATCTCTGTGCAAAATTACAATAATCTGCGAAGGTATTCAAAGAGGTGGATATATGTAACTGAGATGTGAAAGTGGGCAAATACTCACAGACACACGACACGTACACATACAATCACTCAAATACAAACACACACACACGCATACCCACACACGCATATATATATATATATATATATATATATATATATATATATATATATATATATATATATATATATATATATATATATATATGCAAAAAGGTTGAAATGTCTTTTTGACCCCTCCAAGAAGGCTTTCAGTCTCCCGGATTTTTTATTTGCTGGTGATAATGTATTAAGCCTCCGAAAATATTTTCCTCGTTACGATTTTCTTTTTTCTGTCTTTTTTAAATTATATATATATATATATATATATATATATATATATATATATATATATATATATATATATATATGTATGTATTAAAAGAAAAAGAGAACCCACAATCGTTACTGGGTTATAATGTGAATTTATATATTATACTTTATTTTCTATATTTATGGCTACAAGGAGTTTCGGTCTTGTGATCTTCATAAGGCGAATATGGTTCTTTCCACATATTATTTAAAAGAATTATGTTTTCTTATGTTTAACCATTGATTTATGTGTGTGGTAGTCATCCCAATTATTCTTGGACTGACGGACATTTTGTAAGCAAGTGTCGCCTCTGAGTGTTGACTTCAATGTTCACATTTATATTTATTTTTACATACGCTCTATCTCTGATAATGAACACTTTATCCCATAAATATAGCACACCTTAAAACTATATTTCTCCATACATATATATATATGTGTGTATGTGTGTGTTTTCCTTCTCAATAGATATTTCATCGCAAGGATATGATATATATGCATATACATATTGTATGGTGTCTAGGGTTAGTGTGCTGTGTGTGTGGGTGTGTGTGTGGCTCTGTGCGTGCGCGTGTGGTCCCTCTAGCGTTTGATTTTGCCAGTATGCGTATATATATTCGTTCTTCATACATATATACTGCGTATTATATTATTATAAAGAAATTTATACGATAACTATATGTATCTTGTATAGTGTGTTTGTGTGTGTGTTGTCCGACTGGTGTGTTTTGTCATTATGTGAGTATGGTTTGTTTTTCTCTGTGTGTGATTATCATTTTCTTTTTAGTGCTGTGTTGAATTTGTATTTGAAGTGTTTTGTATTTGTAGGTAAGAGTAATCTTCTGTTTGATATATTGGCATAATTTTAAATTTAATTTTGTTGCATTTGTAGATGTGCTATGACACAAAGATTTTCCTGTTGTCTGGTAATTTAGTATCGCTTTTGTGAAGGGAAAGTCTGTTGTTTAGTGTTTCGGTGATACTTATATAGAATTTGTTGTATTTTGTGCAGTTACATGCATAAATCGTATTTTTGATGCTGGAGTGTAAGCTTTTCTTTATTGTGAATGTTCTTGTGGTATTTTCAAAAGTGTAGGAGTTTCCTTCTATATATATATATATATATATTCATGATATAACAAACACCATATCTCTTCTTGTTGCATTGTGTGAACTCTTATATTGTGTGTTGATTAAATTTGGATGAGTTTAATGTGTGTTCTAGGCGTTTTGATTTGCGCTTGCTTTTAATTATTTTTGTTGTTCTTCATTCAGGTTATGTAGGTCTAGATTTATTGTTAATTGTGTAAATAGTTCTGGATTGTTCTTGTATATTGTGATGTATGCTAGAATCTGTCCCTTGTTGCGTTTCTTTGCATTTCATAATTAATCTAACGTTAATTTTATGCTAGTTTAAAACCTTGGTTTATTAGTGCTGTAGTATAGACTCGTTTTTCTTGAGTTTTATTTAATTCCACTAAGCGGGTTATCGAAGGCGTTTGTCGGACATCATATTACAAATCCTACGTGCTATGGAATTAAGACAACTTTTTCGTTATGGCGCTTGAACAATATTGAAGGTTTGTGATAGATATCTGTTTTAATGTGGTTATTCCTATTTCTAATGAGTATATCTAAGAATGGCATTTCGTTAAAATTATGTTCTTGGGTGAATCTGATCTTCGGGTGTAGGTTTTGGAGCAGGTTGTGTAATTAATATCGCCCCATAAGAATTACTAGAAGATGAAGCAATCATCTAAGTATCGCTTCCAACATTTAGTGAAGTGTTTTTTTTTGTTTTTTTTTCCCATATATTTGCTCTATCTTTTGAAAGAGTTTTTCTTCTCGGTAAGCTAAGTTTAGGGTAGCATTTGTTGATGGCATTTTCGTTCTCATCGCGATACCTCGGGTTTAGATATAGTTTTTGTTGTCAAACTCAAATGTTTTCTTCTTCAGGATCAGGTCTATTCTATCGATAATGAGTTCCGTGATGAATCTCGGGTGTTGTATTTCTACACACACACACACACACATACACACACACACACACACACACACATATATATATATATATATATATATATATATATATATATATATATCTTTATATATTGGCATAATGATATGGAAGTTTTTTTATATAACAAGAATCATTTTAATGGAAAGATGTATGACAAAGTGGACATTTTTTCCGTGTGATGCGTTTCCTCCTTTAGGACTAAGTTTATGTTTCGGTTGATTCAACTACGCATGCGCACGAGCAAGAGACACTAGAAAATTTAATTTAATTTTTCTTCTTGCGGATGTCTCAGTTATCTCTCTTTAACTCAACACTCCATGTTTTTGAACACACAGATCTTTGGACGAAGTCACTGGATCCAACCAACGCGTTTTATCCGCAGGTCCATATGTCCTGGGGGACATCAGTGTATAAATCTTGGCGTCTTATAAAATGAATGTCTTAGTTAACTTTTTACCAGAGCTCATATTGCAAGTTTTTGTTGTTGCTGTTATTGTTTTTCTCTAGTACTGCTTAATACTGGTTCTCTTAATATAGTTGTTTCTATGCCTGAAATGCTTCGGAGACTATTGTCACATAGAGTATGTAATGATTCTTTAAGTTTTCGTATTTTCCAGTGATATTGATTCTCATTACTATAAACAGAATTTTACTTAGATCGTAAAGTCGTACATCAAAAGTAGGACTACTGAAAAAAAAAACTAATGATGTATGCAATTTAATTATTCTCTATAACTCAACTAACGTTATTTTTACGCCATGTCCTTAAGACTTAGGGGATCATGGTTCGCCGAAACTTCCTGAATGTTTTTTATTTGATATATATAATGTATGTAGTGACTACTACTATGTTTGCCACGCCTACATTTTTCTCAAGTGTGGTTGGTTAAATAATAAATACTAATTATCACAGGACAATTTACTGATCGCATTCACCACACTGAATTTTTCCTACCGTTAATTCACAAACATGCTTTTGTTATAAAATCTCCGATAGGTTAATGTTGAGTTGTTGGGAGTGTTCCCCGCGTGTGTGTATTCGAATAAAGACAAACACAGTTGTAGGGATAAATACTGGTATATTTGTAAGAGGTAATTAACAACAGAGTGATTAGTAATAAGGAACGCCGGTTAGTAAGTAACAATAGCAAAAGTCTACAGTCCAACGGTATGTAATGGTAACCTGATCTCGACTGCTGTCGCTGAACCTGATCCTCGCACGACACACCTACTCTCCCTAGCACTGACTTATATCGTAGATGGATAAGTCCATTATCAGTCAGAAGGTGGGTGCGCCCCAACAGTTAATTTTTCATCCAATCAGATATTTTTTGTGTTCTTTCAAAATTTCTCCCGCCTTTGTTCTCGGAGCCTACCAGGT